TGTGTGCAAATAGGAAAACACTGAATTTGATTTACGTGCGTTTGTAAACTGTGTGTTGTGGAACAGAAAAATAAGGATTTATTCCTCATTTTTTGTTTGTACAATCACGACAGAAGTTAAATTATTTATTTTATGCATTTGTGTGTATGTGTGTGTGTGTGTGGAGGGGGTGGGGTGCACGTGTGTGCAGTAGTGCTCAACCAGGCAGGTGTTTGTGGTTGATACTTGCGGCTCCAGCGGTGTTGATCACCTCAGTTTGGTACCTCACCTTGGGAGGGAAACAACTCTAAGCTCATTAGTACACTAACCAACAAACACACCGAGTGTAGAGAATGTGAATAAAATCTTAAAAACAAATAAGTTCAGGGGAAGAGGAAGAGAAGAGTGCATTTCTAAGAGGAAATTGTTTTACCACAAAACCCAAAGAAGGACTTGAGGAAAACAAAGGTGTGAGAAGTAGGAAGCAAAATCCTGCAGGGATCAGAAAAAATAGGAAAAAAGCAGCTTTGCATACAAAGAGTCAGGGGAGCAGTGGGAGGAGGACGACTGCAACGACACAGAAGAGAAAGAGAAAAGGGGGAATAAGAAAGAGATGAGGATTAAAAACAGATTAACGGGATGTAAAGGTTTAAAAGCTTGGTTTTATTCACCCTGGCAGCAGCTGCACACGTTATCCTCTGCTCAGATCTACAGAAATTCAGCTTCATGGATGTGTCTTGGAGCTCGTCTTTATTCAGTCGCTCTGATCCTCACAGAGTCGGGAAATAAAAAACAGTCAGACATTTCTAAGATCCAGGTTATGATCAACAAGATTAAATAATGTGTTGGAGGGAGAGTAAATAAAATCTCCTGTAAACACAAATACATTCACCAGATTGCCAAAGAAGTAAAATTTAAACAAATATAGTAACCAGGTACACTAAAGTGGTCATTTTTACTTTTTAACTTTTTGTTTTTTTGCAGTTAACTAAACTAGATTTAGATGAAACAAAACACTTTACAGTCTTATGCTATCCTCCAAAATGCAGGCGATTCTGTGTTTGTGTGTCTGTTAGCAAAATATCTCAAGAACCGCTGAATGATTTTAATGAATTCTCAACAAGTAATTCCTGGATGTACATCTACAACTGACTGGAGCCAATCCAGTTTAAGATGGTTTCCACAGCTAATCAACATTAACATTACCATATTTTTCAAACTATAAGGTGCACTGGATTACAAGGCACATTAAGCGAAACAAGAGTCAGATAAGTCAAACTTTATTCAACTCCTTCACAATAACCACATAAAATCAGTTTGAGGTCAGTAAGCACAACCAGAATTAATACATAAGGTGCACCTGATTATAAGGCTCACTGTTGATTTTTGAGAAAGTTAAAGGATTTCAAGTGAGCTTTATAGTCCGAAAAATAGGATAAGAATTGGCTACGACGCCATCATTTCCACAAATACTGAGCTAAAGTTTGGGTAGCTGAGAGTCATTCACAACAGCTCACATAACGGTATTGACAAGGCTTGACCAAAACAACTTCAGCTTCTGCCGATCTGAGACTAAAATGTTGGCACGAAAGGCACCGGGTGATATGCATCCCTTCAAGGTCCACCAAGCCTTTATATTAGTTTGCATAAAGGTGAACCCAAAACTTAGATCTGCATTAAAACTTGAATCCAAAGATGGAGCACTTCCAGCCTGCAGAAATCATCATAAACATCCTCACAGAGACAGAAATAAAAGTAGACATTCTTAAACCCATACTGTACACATGCACTGAGCAGTACAGGCAGAGAGCACCTTTTTTGTGTGGCGTCGAGATAAATAGGATTAGGGATTTGGGAGATTTAGAGGGAATAATCCATCTGTGTATCAGAGAGAGGCAGCAGCTGTGATGATCAAAAGAGAACGCTATGATTCAGAGCTCAGAAATCTCTGCGTGGACCGGAAAAAACTCGCAGTGGCATTTCCCCCGTTCTTTCCTCCAAGGAGCGGTTTTCATTCTGTCAATGTGACTGCTGTAATTGCCACATAATCACCTCATTCTGTACAACACTCTATATGTGTGTGTGTGTGTGTGTGTGTGAGGCAGGGATATACACAATTATATATTCACAGTAATTAATCTGATTTTCAGTTTACATCATAGGAAAGACATGGAGCTGCTCTGTTTGTTGTTGGAGTTAGGACTAAGCAGGGATTGGATTCAGTTATTTAACACGCGGTTGATTTGAACAGCTGCTGTGTTGTGCATCTAATACCTTCATAAAAACACAACACAGCCCGACAACCCTGCACAAAAAGCGACACACACCGCTCAGTTCTCTTCTTCTCTGCAGTGTAGTTGGGCCACCCACCCTCTTCATTCTTCATCTGCACACACACAGAGCACCTCAGAGACTCAACGTCAACCTAAAGTGCTCCAACACACTGCAGAGGTCGGCTGTTTTCAGAGGGAAGGCCGAGGTTTTAGAGTCGCCACATGAAGAGGAAAAACGCAACCAGAGTGATTCCAGTGTTAAACCAAAACCAGGTTTTGTTTTGTGTTTTTGTCTAAGAGTTGACAACCTAAAAACGCAAAAAAAAAAAAAAAAAACTTTTTCACTACTTTAAATGCTTTAGCATTGTTTTTTTTGTTTTTTTGATAAATATAAAAAAGTAAAAAAATCTCATTGAAAGCAGCAGGCTGTAACAAAACACAAAAACTTTAGAGTATAGACAGCATGAACATCTGTTGGCTCCTCAAACGAAGTCTGAAAGAGACAGAATCCAACTGAACTACCGTACTTGAAGCATAAAACAGATTTATACGTGGCTGTTAAACAACAAATAAAACCAGTAAACTAATAGAAATGTAGCTATTTAAGGTGCATTTGAGGCGATATGTTTGTGTGTGTAAATCCATCAGCAGGAAAAATAATAAACTGACTGAATGCAACATATTTAGTTTCTCAACAAATTACAGGTTATTTCATAAAATGTTTTTTTTAAAGAGTAATAACAAAAAAATATATACTCTGCTTTAGATTCAACTTATTTAACAAAGAAAATGAAATGCTTCTAAAAAAAATTCCTTGTAGATTATCAAACAAAACTAATGGAAAGCAGAGATGAAGCTAGTTAGAAATATTTTAGGACCTTCTGTTTTACACAAAGTTTGTTTTCTCAGCAGCTGTTCTGTTTTAGTTCATTCATGTCATGTGAATTAGTGCAGTCTCAGAGAATCATGGTTTTTAATGTATAGTAAAAAGTGTTAACCCTTCATTTAACCCATAAACTACATCCCATTGAAAGTTGTACTTATTTTGGTCCCAAATATAAGCTGAGCGTTCCAGCTGTTTTAACACAAGAACTCATTTTACATCTCAATCTCAATATTTTAATCTCATCGCTCAACTCTTTAAACGGTAAATGGTCTGTACTTATATAGCACCTTTCTTATCTTATCATGATAATCAAGGTGCTTTACACCACAATCTGTGCCCTCATTCATCCACTCCTACAACTCTCTACAAAGACTAATCAGTGCTTTATCACATTCATACACCACAATGAGGTTGTGTCTTGTCCAGGGATACTTCGGCATGTGACTGCTGGTGGAATCGAACCCCCAGCTCTTGCATTGGCTGCTCTAACCACTCAGCCACAGCCGCCCCAACCGCTTGATTATAAATGTGTACAAATACAAACGCATTCTAAATCATGAGATTGTGGCTTTAAAGTTTTGTCCTCCAGGGGAGAAAACAGTAAAGACTTAAATATGCAGTTCAAATATGTCCAGAGGACTAACGTTTATAGAGAACCATCGTTCAGTCAACAAGATTGTTGTGCCCTACATTTAACAAATGTCAGATTCTTTTTAACTTTGTTCACAAACTGAGTATCCACTGATAAAACTAAATGTGTTCCTTATTGTTTAAACCAGAAAGTTAAAGACTCCACGTACAAAACAAAAATACACGTTTATTTTCTAAACATTTCATTTTCCCACCTTTTCCCACCATTTAAAATCAATCCTGAATAAATGTAAGAGATGTACAAAAACAGTTTATTTCTAAAGCATGTCTGGTAAGAAAGAAACATATGTACATTTTTACAGACAAAAAAAACAAGTCTATGTAATTAAAGTTAAAACTGTCAACACGTCCTCTGGAACTGAAGCATGACCGCAATAATTTAATCATAAAGTCTTACAATACTTTTTACAATGTGAAAAAAAAAACATTGTTTCACTTAAAGGCATTTTAGCAAATCTCTTGTTCAAGTTTAAACAAGTGACAATAAGACGAATAAAACATCTGTTTATAGTCAAGAGGTTGGTCCTTGAACCCGTTCTCCAGCTAGTACAAGATAATCGTTTTTATGAACGAACAATAAGACATGAGTGTTTCACAGATAAAGGCAGGGAGCGGACGGACATGTTGCTTTTCAGTTCGGGTGCACTGAAACAGCTTTAACCTCCATCAATATTCTGGGGATGACTAATAGTGCTGAAACATGAGCAGGAAAATAATCTGTTAAAAACAGGTCGTAGACAGGGAGCATTAATGAAATCAGAGGATTAATTTAATCTCTGAAGCTCTTAAATCAGTTTGTTCACCATTGTTCTTTCAATCTGGATTAGAAGAAAGGATCTTTTACATAACGAACCACATTAAACCTTTTTAACAACACTTTTGAAACACTTTTTAAAGCTTGGTAAGACTTTTCTGCCTCCGAGATTAACTTGTCGCTTTTTACAGACGTGATGATGGACAAGTAAACTTGAGCAAGCTCTACACTCGGGTATTAAAGACAGTACAGTGTGTAGGTGGACAGTTGGCACTACAGTGCAGTTAGTGAGAGAGGAGTTTTGGTTAAGACAGGAGCAGTGCTTTTCAGACTGTGTAGGTGTGCGAGGGCAAACTGAGGTCAAAACGTCCATGCTGAGCTTGTGAGCACTGTCTGAAGCAAAATACAAACCGACGTTTACACATAATGTTTATAAAATGGTCATTTGTCTGTTGGTTCTTGTGTTGGTCCAAAATGCTGCACACTTCTGCTTCCATTTATCAGCACTAGAGTCTGTGTCAACACCAACTCTACATGAAGGTTTTACTACTTGAAGTTCTGTAATCCATCATTAGGAGATTCAGGTGTCACCAAAAAGTCCAGTTTGGTGTCTGAACGTCAACAGGTCCACCGCAGAAAGAAGCAACAACATCCATGATTCCTGTTTTCACAAACGTCCAACTGCTCTGAAATATTCCCAGATGATGCACACGCACAGTAAACGTGCAGTTAACGTCTTCTTTTTGTCTTTTTAGCAGATGTAAAGAGGGGGAGGGATGTGCCGTTAGGATCCCTTTTGTCTGTGATTTCTGGCTCTGAGTGAAAACTTATAGAAATATTTGAAAAGTTTGTGGAAAGAGAAAAAACGTCTTTCTTTTCAGTAGATGACCTCGTAAACCGTGGCCTTCTTGTCCCCTGAACCAGTAACGATGTACTTGTCGTCCACAGATATGTCACAGCTCAGGACTGAGGAGGATTCTTTAGACTGGAGAGGAAGAGCGGGAAAGGTGGGGGGGAGAAGTAAATCATAAGTGAAAAGGTTTCCAAAAGAACTTGAGATAAACTGCTTTTGTGTGAATTCATATGAAAGTTGAAATAATCTCTTGAAAAATTGTTTTATATCTGTATGAATGAAATGTTTACAAGACAGTCGCCATCACATATTTTAAAACCAGTTTAAGAGAAGCCATGAACTGCATATGTAACTGTGCATATTTCATGTGATTAAAAGTAAAATTGTACAGCAGAGTTATTATGCTGGCTCTTTATGATCCAGTGATTTATGACGTGGAGTCGTATGGCAGTGCAGTGCTGGTGGAAATGGACTCTTAAAAGCTGAAGCAGCACATTCAGGGCTGCAGTTTTATGAGACACATTTTATTAGATTATAGAGTGAAAGCAGCAATCTATTGTCCCAACCTGGAAAATGCTGGCTCCATAGGGTGTTCTCCATGCATTCAATAAGTTGTCCTTTCCGGTACTCACAAACCATTTGCCTGTGTGGAAACACACACGCACATATTCATACAGCACAATATGAAATCATAGATGATAAGAAAAACTAGAGAATTCATCAATCTTCAATAAAAATACTGATTGTGATTTAAAAAAGGTTATGCTTTGTGGAAGACATAAGACAATGAAATATAGCTGAAAGGAGAATTGACCAAACTAAAACATCCACAGTTTCATCCTTTTCCTCATCCTTTCTTTACAGACTAATATGTTTAATATTTCAATAAAACGATCTGGTTTTAAAGATGACTGAACGGAATCGGATCAAGACTGATCAAGGAAGCACCGCAGATCTTGATACTGAGGGAGTGGCGTCCTTACCACAGTAAGCAAACTGCAGGGAGAGCACACAGCTCTCGTGGAGATGAAGCTGGTATTTGTCAGGCTTGGTGACGTGAAGAACCTCAACGTTGCTGCTCTCCATTCCAACTGCAAGCCATTCTCCTGTCGGACAGTAGCCGAGAGAGAAGATCTGGACAGAAGAGACAGAAAATAGTATTATTAGAATTCAATAACAGTGGTGTCCAGTCCTGGTCCTCGAGGGCCACTATCCTGCATGATTTTATTGTTTCCCAGCGATTCAACACGTCCTCAAGTTCTGAAGCAGCTTGTTAATCACGCATTCAAATCAGGTGCGTCAAAACTGAGAAACACCTAAAACACGTGGGACAGTGGCCCCTGAAGACCAGGACTGTACACCACTGCACTAAAATATTTGACCAGCTGTTGAAAGGTAACTTAATTTGATGTGATGTATAATAAAACAACTTTTCAAGTTTGGTATATGAGATGCTGTTGATGCACCTGTGTGAGCATGTACCTGTGATGTGAAGTCATGCTGCTGCAGCTGCCGCCCCTCCCTCAGATCCCAGGAGCGAACTGTGTTATCCAGACCCCCGGTCCACAGCTTGGTGCCATCGTTGGAGATGTCGATGCAGCTGGCTCCATCTGTGTGGCCTTGAAACTGTCTGTAAAACACACGTGCAAGTTTTTATTTAAATAAAAGTGGAATCGTTCAAAAAGACACAACATGCCTTGGGTTCTAGAGGCAGTCGGTGGGTAACACAGGCTAATAAATGACTTGGAGCATTTCTTATCAGCTGCAGCTGTTCGAGTAAGAAGATATAGAAGTTCATTCAGGACTGGGACTTCATGTTCAGGATAGCTCATGCTGGTGATTAGAGGAAGTTAGAAGGACATGGTAGGAATAGTTGATGCCTTTATTTTCTTATCTGTACATAAAAGTGACACTGAAAATGATCCCACTTCCCACGCTGCTGTTCCTGTTGAATAAAACATCTGTCTTATCTCTTACCTAACAAGAGTCTGGTTGTGTAAATCCCAGACGGCTATGTTTCCATCACTGCAGCAGGAGAAGCAGACCTTGGAGTCCGGGCTGATGGCCAGAGCATAGCATGCTGGTGCTGACGATGTCAGCTCTGCTTTAATCCTGGGAGTGGGCGTGGCCAAATCCCAGATGGACAACGTGCTCGCCTCACCACCCACGATAAGCGTTCGACCATCAGGGAGGAGACGACAAGAGCGAATGTAATTGTCTCGATTCTTTTTTTTTTTTTAAAGAGAGAGAAAAAGTTTGTGTTGGACAGTGCTGCATTTTCTGTAATTTTTATTTCTCTGTTAAATGTAAAAAGTTAAATTATTTCACATCTGTGCCTATGAAGTGCAAAACATCTAGAGTGAAAAGTTTTGACAATAAAGCTTCTAACTGAAGTGATACTTTGTTCCATTTACTCACCAGACAATCGAGCTGAGAGACCGGGCTCTTGTTTCCTGGGTGACTAATGTCCCAGACCTTGACACAACCCTTTCCTCCAGTGTAAACGTGTCGGGTGGGGTTACTGATGGTGACGGCACAAACCACCTCCCCATGGTTCAACGTGTTTATCTGACGGGCATGACGAGGGATCCCTGGTCCAACCAAAGCATCTGGGGGGAAAGGAACCGGCTGCATCTGTCCGTCTGCTGCAACATGGAAGGAGTAGGCACTGATGGCAGAGAGAAAATTAAACAGAAAATGAGAGAAGAATTCTGACAAAGAGAAGGAAACTAAAGCTTTGTAGTAACGTTATTAAAAAAAAAAATTGTTGGGCAAAGATTAAAAATTTTAATCGCAAGAAGCGAAACATCTTCAGTTACAAAATCAAGTCCAGTTGTTTTTGTCTTGAACTTTTTTGAACGACGAGTATGGGCTGAAACTTGTGCCATCAGAAACTGAAGCAATTCTAATTCAGTTTCTGATGGCACAAGTTTCAGTCCATAAACGAGCTGCATAACAAACACTCGGTCTTCCTTCACAGCGCATCGCTGCGTGCCTGCTGCCAAAAGGCTCTCATTGGTTGAGATGCACAATGATGTCCATCCACAGCCAGTAGTGATCAACATCCCGACCACTGTGACCAGCGTGTGTCTGTACATTCACAACCACCGAGCAACAGATTTAAAAATCAAGAATAAAAAACTAACAGCGTTAACGTGTTTTTAAATAACCACAAGTATATTAAACAGGTTAGAATGCATTTTATTTTCAAGTTTCTGCTGTGATGTCGTTGACTTCCTGTTTGAGCCTCAAGCCTTTATTTTTTGCATCTGCATTTCCTGTTTAGGGAGTGGTGTAGTTTTATTTGCTCAGGTACAGCAGTAAGTTTTGCCGAGTCAAGGTTAAAATTTTTTTGTACTAGCCCCTCCGAAGAGGCAAAAGGTATGTTGATTTAAGTATTTAATATACATTTATGAGCATACGTCTGTTAATGTATATTTGCATATACAGCATGTTAATAGAAATGACATAAAATATTCAGTTGTACACCACCTGTATGTGATCCTGCTTTTTACGTTGGCGACATGATGTACCACGGTCATTGGAAAAAGGTTTAAAGGAATGAAACATCGTACAGACATCAGTAAAGTCTCATCCTTGTTTGAAGAGGGGCCCGCTACAGCGTTAAAAAAATTGTCGCCAGTAATCATTGGCTGTGTTAACGCGATAACGTGTTAATGTGCCCAGCACAAAAAAAATAATTAAAATAACTATTACGAGGTTTGTTTTAATACTCAGCATTGAGCATGCATCAGGATATTTTAATACTGTGATGCCGTCCGTGTCGTGTCCGACGATGGCGACCCTGGCTAGCTTCTGGCATGTGCTCGTATGTGGCTGGCAAATCTGAGCATCTTAAATATTTGGTCGCAGGTCTCATAGTATAACTGGCCCGCACTGTTGAAGGTGTAGTTGTAGGAGGGTTTAGGTCGGTTCTTGCAAACTGTAGTTTGAGGTCTAACTCAGAAGGGCGAGAATTTTCAAAGTTTGAGACGCCTTTCTTGATCTTTGAGCGCCAAATTGATTTTAGAGCAGCCTCCTCCCACTCTTCGGTGGCCAAACTACACGCAGTCAGATTACGTTTAAAGACGTCCTTATAGCGAAAGTACTGCCCGCCGGAGTTGTACTTCCCACTCAAAAGCTCTGAGTAGAATATACTCGATGGTAGTCTACAGTCTTCCATCCGCTGGACATGACTGCACCATCGCAGTTGTCCTCTCATGAGTAGGGCCTCCATGCCGCGAGAGTTTGAGCGACGAAGAACATCGGCATTTGTGACACGATCCTGCCATTTGATGCACAAGATGGAACGTGGGCATTTTATGTGAAACATGTCCAGCCTCCTAATGTCACCTTTATACAGGCACCAGGTTTCAGTGACGTATAAAAGGATCTGCAGTATTATAGCACAGTAAACTGCAAACTTTGTCTGCAGTGTGATGTCTATATATATATATATATATATATATATATATATATATATATATATATACATACATACATATGTCATATACGTATATGTCATATACATATTAAATGCTGTAGAGAACAATGCAAACACACTTACGGTTTTCCTCCAGGGATTCCTGTAAGACTAGGAGGCATTCCAGGAACTCGCATGTGAGGATGAGGATCAAAACCAACCTTTACAAGAAAAAAACATATTTTCTGAGTACAGTGCAAACATGTGTTCATGGGAAAAGGCCAAATGAGGACAGGTCAATATTAACCTGTGGAAGAGCACAAACACTAGTGAGCACAATGCAAACACACAAGCAAAGCTGTCTGTGCTTGTACTGCCCACCTCCCCACACTGGTGCAACACAAACACTCATGCAGCTGCAGAGTACACAACCTGAGTTGCTATCAAGTGTTGCTCAGACACAGCTGTGAGCTCCTAAACCTATTTAAACGGCGTAATGAACACTACGCAAATACAGCCAAGAGTGATGAGGTGATTGAATGTAATGCTCACTGGCATACCCGTTGTATAAATACTGTCACAAAGACCAGAGAAATCCTCTTAAATAACTGTTGACACTTTACACACTTCACAATATCAAATGTTGAGTAGCTGTGGAAACCATTTCACCCCCTAAACATCCAAACACAAATTACAGTTGAACTTTATCCAAATGTTGAAATAAGGTAGAGCAAAGTAAATTTGTTTAAGTAAAACTGCAAACAGAACCAAGTACATATTAAATAAAAGTTAACTCCATGATGACACCAGTTTAATCAGAATGTGACAAATGATTATAATCTTCATGCCTGAAAGGTACAACAGCTTGAACTGTCAAAACTTAAAAATTACAAAATAAAACAATCATGAAGCCATACAAGAATCTCTACAACATATTGAGTACTTCCTGAGAGGGAAAATGCTCCACGCTAATAAAATGGGTAAATAGGAGAGAGAGAAATCTACTTGGAGCCAACTCTATGGTTTTATGACAATTGTTGCGCAACTTCTTAAAAGAATAAACAAATATGAACTCTGCTGCTTAAAATCACCTAATTCCACTAAGCAACTTCCCAAAGCTGTTGAAGTTTTACAAGAAAGCCTGAATTAGAGAAGAGTATATTTTCAGTTAGAGAAGTTTCTTTTCATCCATTCAACCTTTATTTATACAGGTTAATCCCATTGAGCTTCGGGGACCCATTTACAAGAGAGACCTGATTTTTTAAACAAAGAGTGATGACAACAGTGGACAACAAAGACAACAAAAGACAAGACTGGTCAGATTATCAAACACTAGCTATGTTTACATGGACCTAAGTAATCAGATCAAACAGCCGTTCGGAATAAAAACGCATCATGTAAACGCCCCGTTCAGGTTATTTTTTGTTTATTCAGCGCGATCCAAAATAATTTGTGATCAGAACGAAACGGATGGTTTAAGCCGATTCATAACCCAATGGTGTCCATGTAAACGCTTAATCTGTTCATTTTTTTCTGATCACGAAAAACTGACCTGACTGCACATGTGTGCTATGTCATTTCCGGCTGGCTAATGCTAATAATATTAGCATGTCGGGGGAGCAAAACTGGTCTGTGAGCGACAATATAGCTACTAGAGCTGAGCAGCTTTCTACTAGAAACTTTGAAAGATCTCAAAATGATCTGTATCACATGTAGCTCAGTCAGGGAGTGCAGTAACGTCTCCACCGTCATTAAAACCTGTCGCGGGTCCATTTTGGGCGCTCAGTTTTGTTTATGTTCATCCCGGAAGTAAACCGGAAGTAGAACTTCTTCTTCTGTGTTTTTTTAAGGGGAGTTTACCACTCTGCGCATGTCAGTACTGCTGTTCAGAACAAAGCCCGCTGCATGTAAACGCTCGTCATGAACAGAGTGTGCCCATGTCAGTACAAAGTCCCATCATAGAAAGCCTGACTTGAGGGCGGTGAACAAAGAAGCAGTAAATTTGAGTGTTTGCTTTAAATGTATATACATTTAAACATTTGGGGTGAGGGGAGGAGGGGGTGTTGGAGTTTGATATTTTTGTTGGATTTGGTCAAAAAGGCCAAATTATGTTCTTACACTACATAATGAGACAATGCCAAATGGTAGTCAAGTTTTTCATGTGTATAAGTTACGTTTAAAAAATCATTTGGAATAATTGGTGGCTCAGTTGGTAGAGACACCGCCTCTCAGTGAGCAGGTCACTGGATCAAATCCTGGCCAGGGGCCTATCTGGGAGGAGTTTGCATGTTCTCTGTGCATGTGCGAGTTTACTCCAGGTACTCCGGTTTCCTCGCACAGACCAAAAACATGCAGGTTAGGCTGATTGGTAGCACTAAATTGTCCCTAGGAGTGAGTGATTCATTTCATATTCATTTCTGCAAACACAATACAAATATCACTCAAACCCCCTAAAACAAACAAAACCCCAGGCGCTTTAATTTTTACTCACCATAGGTGAACGGCCGTATGCAGCCGCAGCGACTGCAGCTGCAGCACTCATCTGAGGCGACATGTTGTGTAGTCCAGCTGCATAGGCTGCAGCACCAGCTAGTTCTCCATTCATCCCTGCTGCATGAGGCAACATACCAAACGCACCTGGATATGGACCTGGAACAGCAAGGGGCGTTCTCAAACCTGCAGCTGAGGAAATAAGAAAAGTGAGAATGGCTCACACACAGTCATTTTACATTACTACTAATCTTTGACTAGAATTATTTCTAGGTGAAGGAAGCACAAATAAATTAACTATAATTTAACTAATATAAATCTGCCAAACAAAATTAACAGAATAAATGTTTATGGCGGACGTACTAGGAGGATGTGGTATCTCCATGGATGGGGGTTTGGACAAACTTGGTCGGATTCCAGGTGTGGAGCTTGGCCCTGGGGTGGAGTCACCTCTAGGTGTGGGAGTGCTTGACTTTAGACCTGGTGTACCTGCCTTTTCTCGCTGCCAAACAGGAACGAGCACAAGGAATGTGTCACCATTATAGAGTTTATACAATCACTCATTTACTGGGCTTATCCAAATATATCCTGAGACTGATTAATTATTTTTACCACTGTCAACTCTTTGGATTTGAGAGAGGAGGAGCTGGCTGAGGACGCAGTAGAAGCTGGACTACAGGGGTCTTTCTTGAGAAGACGTGCTTTATCCAAACCATTTTCTCTGGGGGAGGGAAGAGGTGTGCCACGAGGGGAGGCTGCATCCTGATGGATAAACAAACACTTGGTGAAAAGCTGAAGAATAAAACTGTAGCACAACAATGATGTGAGATGAACAAACATTATTACGTAATTTTGATAGACAATCCAGCCCCTCTCCCCACACTAACATACACTAAAGTCTTGGCTGTGTGTCTTTTTAGTTAAAGCACTGTCATTCCAGCAAAGACCATTAGTCATCAGACAAATAAATAAATAAATAAATAAATAAATAAATAAATAAATAAATAAATAAATAAAACAAACTGACCTCATTTGACACATCCACCACTAAATTGTCATCACTTTTTTCTCCATCGCTGTCCTAATGGAGCAAATCAGGTCATCCAGTGAGATGTAGAGAAAAGGCATAAATGTATACACTTTAGTCCCCAACTTGAAATAAAAATGAGATGCACCAAAATAAAAATAAAAACTTTCTTACGTAGTGGCTGGAGTCCTTGTCATCAACTTTGCGTTTCTTGGTGTCATTTGAAAAGTCAGGACCATTACGTCGCTTATCTGAGTTCCTGAGACTTTCTGGCAGCAGCGAGTTACTCTGCGTACAAAAAGGGAAGAGGAAGACGAGAAAGCATTGAGATATGAGAAGGCATAGTAAGATGTAAGTGGTGTAGGAAGAAAAATAGGAGGTTGGGAAGAAAAGGTGAAAAAAATCTCGTTGAAATTGTGATTTACTGTGTGTGCAGTCTCCATGAAGCCACGAAACTGCCAGACCCATCTACCACTAATTATAAGAGCTTTTCAGTCGTGTGTAGAGAAGGTTAGAAAAACAGACTCTTGCTAGCAAATAGGTTAACAGTTCACAGAAGCATGAATTAGGCAGCACTAACACTTTAACAGCAACCTCTTCTCTCACTTGACCAAAGCCAGTCGGAGCCAAACACAAACACATGCCTCTGAAGCTGATGATTACATTAAGTGGCT